GCAGAAGCAAGCACAAACGTCCGCAGCGGCTTCCGCCGCCCTGTGCAGCAGCCCTTCCAGCGGCCTGCGCAGCAGCCCTTTCAGCGGCCTGCACAGACGTCGACGGGCGCAGCGGCGTTTCACGGCGGGCGGGCCACGGCGACTGCAGCCACTCTTCCGGGCCCGCCTCGCCACCCAGCCCCGCCGCAGCGGCCATCGCTGGCCCGCAGCACAGGACAGCACGGCGGCGAGGCGCCGGCTGCTTCGCTGGGCGGTGGAGGACGCGGGTTTGGATTGGGCGGCGCGATAGGCGGTCTTCAGGGCCCGCCGCAGCAACCGCCTCTCTGCAGCAGCAGCGGCGCCGCGCTGCCCCCACGCCGCTCCGCGAGCGCAGTCCTGCAGCTGCTGCGGGGGGACTCGGCCGCGCCAGCCGCTGCACCCGCGACGCCGGCACTGCCTTCCAACCCAGCAGCAGCAGGGCCAGGCATCGGCCGAAACGGTTGGCCGCCCGCTGGCCCGCCCACAGGGCCCGCTGGGCCGCCCGCCAGCAGGCAGGGGTCTGCAGCCTCGGGCTTCGTCCCGCCGCGCCGCTCGGCCGGCGACGTGCTGCGCGCTCTCCAGCCGGCAGAGGCCGGGACCCGCGCTGCAATTGCGAAGCCGCGCTCCTCTCCCGGCCGCCGAGCCTCGCGCAGCAGCGGCGGCGACAACGACTTTAGCTTTCCTGCGGCCTCCGAGTGCGCCGCCGGCATGTGGCCGTCGCCGGCGCCCGCGGGCCGTCTGCACTTCAGCTCGCTGCCAGAGTACACGACCACGATGCGCGGGCTTGTGCTCGAGCAGATGAATCTGGCGCTGTGGGAGCTGGCGAGGCGAGCGCACGCGATGCTCGGCGCCGGGCGCAGCGCGCCGCAGCTCCGCGGCGCCGGCGTCCCCTTCTACGCCCGGGCGGAGCTGACGGTGCACCGCAAGCGCTCCGGGGGGCAGTTTGGCCGTGGGCGAGGCTCCGGCGGCCGGCAGCGAGGCGGCAGGAGCGGCGACGATTACGACGGCGACAGCGATTGCGACGGCGACGACGGCGACGGCGGCGACGGCACCCTGCTCTTCCTCACTCTCCCTCGAGGCCCCCGCGAGGCCGGCTCGAGCTTCAGCCTTGACGACTTGTGGGTGCTGCTGCCGCCGGCCGCCGGCGCCGCCGACGCCGTCGACTCGGCCGCCGCGCCGCTCTTTGTCCGCTCCATGTGGCACGGGCCCAACTCGGACGGCAAGATTGGAGTGGAGCTCGCTGGCGGAGGCTCGGCGCGCGCGCTGCCGTCGTCGGCGCGGTACTACCACGCGCTTCGTGGGCCAAACGCGGGCGACACGCTCGCCACGCTCGCGGTCCTCGATTCGCTCGCGCTGCCTCGCTCCCCCCCCCTCCTCCGCTTCCTCCTCGGCCCGCGCTCGGCCCCGCCCGAGCCGCCGCTGCGCTCTGCTACGCCAGTCGCCTCGCTCCTCGTGCAGGCTGTCGACAAGTTCCGCCTCAACGCCGAGCAGGCGGAGGTGTGCCGCCGCGTCGCCGGCTGGTTCGAGCCGTCGGCGGCGGCGGCGCCAGAGGGGGCGGCTGCGCCCTCCCCTCCCTCTCCGGTGGTGCTGGTGCACGGCGCGTTTGGGGCTGGCAAGTCGCTGCTGCTGGCCGCTGCCATGTGGATGCTCCGCCGCGCGCTCTCGCCCGGCGGCGGCGGCGGCGGCGGCGGCGGCGGCGGCGGCGGCGGCCCCCCGAGCCAGGTCCTGTTCGCGTCGCTCACCAACGTGGCGGTCGACAACGTGCTGCAGGTCCTGATCGACCACGGCGAGGGCGACGCGCTGCTCCGCATCGGCTCGGCGCGGCGCATCGCGCGGCGGGTGCTGCCGCGCTCGACGCACGGCCGGCTCGCAAAGTCGGACGAGGCGGCCATCCGCTCCGAGCTACAGGCGGCGCTGCAGCACGCGTCGCCCGCGGAGCGGCCAGGCCTGGTCGCGGCGCTCGAGGAGCTCACCTCGGGCCGCATGGCTGCGCGCGCGCGCGCCGTGCGCGCCTACCCCATCCTCGGCGCGACCTGCTGCGCGACGCGCCTGCCCGTCCTCGAAGGCGTCCGCGTGGCAGTCACCCTCCTCGACGAGTGCTCCCAGATGAGCGAGCCGTCGTCGCTGCTCCCGATCGCGCGGCTCGGCGCTGCGAGGCTGCTGTGTGTCGGCGACCCGTGCCAGCTGCCGCCCACGCTCCTCGCCCGCCCGCCGTCCGCCGCCGCCCCGGCGCCCGCGCCAGGGTCAGCCGACGGCCCCGCGCCCGACCTGAGCCTGACCCTCTTCGAGCGGCTGGCGCGGTGCGGAGTGCCGCCGGTGCTCTTGCGCGCGCAGTACCGCTGTCATCCTCTTATTTCCGGCATCGCGTCGCGCCTGTTCTACCGCGGGCAGCTCGCCGACGGCCTCGGGGCGGCC